AGGAACTGAATCAAAATTCTACGAGTTTAAAACTCATACAATACTTTTCAAATTTTAAAAGGATAATCTTGATAATATTCTTACTACTTACTATCAATGAAGTAATAATGATATTATAAGGTATCTCAAAATCACTACTGAAATTTTTAACAGTAATAATAAAATAATAATAATAATTTAGAAAAATTCTCAGAAAGATGAAAAGACTTATTCAATATCTTTCAAAAGAATTTTCTTTTCAACATATATTCTTATTAAAAAGGAGTAGAAGAAATTTTATGAAGAAAGTCTTACAACTTTATGATGATATTTATCAAAATATTATCAATAGAGATCATACTTTTACTCAAACATTCAAAAATATCATTTTCATAATATTCGATAACTTTTATTTCAATGATTTTAAAACCTGTGAAAGTTATCACAATCTTCATTTTACCCTCAAAGGTATTTCAATCATTAATGTCATTAATGAAGAAATTCGTCAAATGATTGAATAGAGATTTATTTCCTCAATATATAGTGATTCAAAAACAGATATTTTTCTTTTTAATAGCTCTCTCAAAAGAGTTATTAATCATCTCTTTGAATTCAAAGTCACAACTCTCAAAATTGAATTCTCAAACATTCTTCCTGAATGGATCGTCGAAGAAGTCAAATTCAATGATACTCTTTTTATTGAAGAGTATTTTCCAGTTAAACAAATTGTTACATCTGGAGTACTTTGTCAAATGTTCTTCCAATGCCAGATTCAAACATCTCTTCAAAATTTTTTTATCCTCAACAAAAAGATATCAATTCAAAAGTTATGTAAGAGAAATTCTTACAAAAATCAGATCAAACTCTATTCTTGCTATAAAGAAAAAGCTCGGAGCAAATATTGACAATTCAAAATTACAATTAATGTTTCATTATGAACAATATACCATTTTTACTGATGAAAAAAAATGGACTCAAACTTAAGTCCCATTAATTCAAAAAAAATTTAATAAAGAAATATCAATGTCTCTACAATGCTTTGATAATTTGATCTATCAAAGTGGACAACCTATTCAAGGACCTAATTTCAATTATGATGATGATGAAGACTTCGATTATGATTATGATGATGAAGAATTGTTTAATCTCCATAATATGCTTGAAGGATAATTTATCTTTCAAAAAGTGGTGAACAAATTCAAAAGGTGAATGCTCAATTATGGAGACATAGTCAAAAGTTATGACTAAAGTTGATGCATTCTTTTCAAAATGGTAGACAAAGAAAAGATTCTCTGAAGACTTTTCTTATGGTTGTATAACTTTTGCAATTGGACGGTGCAAAAGTTTCAAAAGATATAATTATTCAAGATTCCTTCTCCAAATTGAAGAAAATTTCAATCTTGAAGTTCAAGATTTCAAGTACAAAAACAGATCAAGTGTTCAAAATCTTATCAGAGTTAATTGAGTGCAGCTCTCATTAGAGTTACTTCAGTGTAGCTCTCAAGAGAGTTGATTTAGCGAGAGATAAATCATTCTCATGAAAGTTTGAGAAAATCTTTGTACTCTTTTACTATCTTTATTTTTCAATCTTTATCTTTCAATTGTGTAATTCAAAGTTCATTTCAATATTTGTATTTCAATCTTCATATATCAATACAATTATCTTTATTTTCAAACATTTGTCTATTTCCACTTCTACTCTTCTCCTCCTGAGCCCATTTTGGTATCAGATCCATAAGAGAGTGAGGTGAGATTATAGTAGTTTATCACAATAGGCATTGTTCAAATAGGAGAATCTGATTTGATTTCGGAATGTCTACTGAATAGACGTTGGTCAACCCATTGTTAGCAGGGGAAAGCGTGTTAGGGTGGTCCCATTTGTAGGCTTGGTAAAAATCAGTCTATCTTATTTAACTGTTTTTATCGTGATAAATTATTATAATTTCATTGAATTTAATTATGTCCTCTTTTTAAAATTGGTTTTAGAGGTCTAGAAATAGATCTTAAAATATTTCAAATATTTTTCAAAATGAAGAAGAAATTGATCAATCATCTGCATTATATGCATCACATCAATAGTCATGAACTTCAAATTGCTCAAATTGAACAAAAATTACATAACTGGACAATTTCAAAGGTAGAAAAGAATTCCATCTATGCAATTGGAATGTTTGATTTTATTCAAAATTATGTTATCAAAACTTTTGAACAAACATTATCAATTAAAAATCAAAATGCTCATGTCAATTTATTTTCAAAAGAATCGATTGAATCACACAGGAAGAAATTTAAATATATTCATGTTGGATTAGTTCAAATTGATGTCAAATATTTGTTTAGACTTGGGTTAGACATTCCAATATTCTTAACTCTTCGAGATAAGAGACTCGTCAAATTTGAAAATTCGTTGTTATCTGTTCTAGAGTCAACTTTAAAAAGTGGTCCAATTTATTCAAATTGTTATCCCAATTTTTCAATCAATCTCAATGATGGAGTTAGTCTTAATCTCTAAATCTCCATATTCAAACAAAAAATCTCGATTTCAATGATCGTTCAAATGCTTTTGCTGTAAAATGCATGATAAATTACAAACTCATGAATACTCAACTCAATATTGGTGTTTTACGTTCATCTCCTAAAGATGAAAGTCTTTTGATTGAATGTAATCCTTTTCATTCAAATACCATGATTCCCAAGAGGATTCCTTGGAATTTTCAAACTCATGGACTATAATGAAATTTTGAAAATGTTCAAAATCTTATTCCTGCTCCTGTTCAAACAATTCCAAATTAAATTCTTACTTTTCCTGATGGAAACGTCAAAATGACGTTCAAAGGATCTTCCTATTAGTTTCAAAGATCCTATTCTTCTAGATCTAAAGATAAATCTAGAACTTCTTATCAATTAGCTAGATTTTCAACATTTTCTCTTTCAGGTGTCTATTTCACTCCAAATATTCCAAAATCTCAATATAATGAAAAAGAAGCAGAAAAAGAAGAAGAATCAGAACAACCTGAATCTCCAACTTTTTCTAATATATTTTCTCAAATGAAAGACTTGACCATCAAACTAATATTATTTCTTCAAGTATTGACAGAAGAAATGAATTCAAAACGATCAAACTCTTGATGTTAAAACTTTTCGAGAAATATTTCATCAAAGTTTTTCAAAAGAAGAAGAGAATCTCATTAAGAAGAATTTTATGAATTCCTTGAAAATTTAAGTTTTTATCAATGGGCTTATTTTAAAGTTTTCAACAAAAAACCTACTTTTTCAAAGGTTTCTTCAAAATCAAAGAAGGAAAAATCTATTCAAACTCAAACTACTAATATTCCACAGAAAGACTTGAAAAACTCCTTCTGGTAAGAATATTCAATCTTTTCATCCTCATTTGCAACAGATTGTAGTTCTACATGGAAATACTGAAATTCTTGCTTCTCCTTTAAAAAATATATTTGAAGAACGACCTGAGGAAAGAACGGATAGTTGCAAAGAACTTGGATTATTCTGTGAACAATATGGATTTGAGAAAGTTATTCCTCCATAAAAAATAAAATAAAAAAATTTTCAAAAAGAAAAGTTTATTCAAAAGAAAAGTATTTTCAAAACCTTCTTATTCAAAAAATTATTCCAAAAATAAATTTTAAAAGAAAAGATTTTCAAGAAAAAGTAATTTTACTTGTTGAAAATATCAAAAATTTGGGCATTATTCTAATAAGTGTCCTCTCAAAGGCAAGATTAATAATCTTCAGATAGATGAAGATATTAAGTTTCAACTTCTCAATCTTATTGATTCAAATTCCAATTCTGATAATGAGTCTAACTCAGAGTTAGAACATGTTTATCAACATCAAGAAGATTCAGATACTGAATCTAGTTCAAATTCTCAATCCTCTTCAAATCAATGTAAAGAATTTTGTGATTGTAAAACTATAAATGTTCTTACTAAACAAGAAGAACTTATTAAAGAGATTGTTGATCAAATTGATGATCCACAACTCAAAAATAAGTTTAATTTCCTTATTCCTTCTAATTCAAAAGCTGAACTTTTCAATATGAAAATTGTTTTAAATCGTTTTGAAATTTCAAAATCTTCCAGTTTTGATTTAAAATCAGAAGTCAATTCTATGAAATCTTAAATTTCTATTCTTGAACGTCAAATAAAAGATATTAGAATGGAAGTTTCTCTTCTCAAAACTAATGATAAGAAGCTAAAGTCAAAGACTCCTTATTCATCTTCTTCCAGTTTTTTTGGTGAAGAATTCAATCCTCTCATTCTTTCAAATATTCAGTCTGAAGAAGAAATGATTAATGTTATTAATCGCGTTCAACTTTAAAAATGGTATTGCAATATGACTATTATAGTCAACAAATAATTCAAATTTACTTTCAAAGTCCTCATTGACTATGGAGCTGATCAAAATTGTAACCGTGAAGGATTGGTACCTACAAAATATTTTGAAAAAATTACTGAGTGTCTTTATGATGCTAGTGATAAGAAACTCAATATTCAATATAAACTTCCAAAAGCTCATATTTATAATTTAAATATTTGTTTCAAAAATATTTTTTATCTTGTAAAAAATTTGGATCAAGAAGTAATTTTTGGTACTCCTTTTATTGTTTAAATTTATCATTTTCAAACTACTTCAAAAGCTTTACCTACAAATATATTTTGATCAAGAAATTTGTTTCAAATTTACTAATCCTCCTATATATATCTGTGTGTGTGTGTGTGTGTGTGTGTTTTGAAAAAGATTTAGCAGAATAATTATTCAATTCTATCAATGTATCCACACACACACACACACGTCTATCACTTTTCATTTTTGAATCTTTGATTGCTTGGGGAGATGAAACATGTTTTTACATCAATTGACGACGGTGCAACTAAAATGATAAGTTTGGGGATGCAAATGCCAAACAACAATAGAATGGATACTCGTTTCCTACTGAGTCAATGGATTGGGGACTAGTTTTGCAATTTTCCCTACTCAGCTTTTCGTCGAATTAATATCAACTAAGCCGCCACACGACACTCGCCACTCGCCCCCATCGCTGCATCTAGCTCACACCTCCTCAATCCAGTCACGCCTCTAACAAGAACGCTGTACAATCCAATCTATAATGGCTTCCTCGACTATCTTTCCGAGCTCTTCAGCTTTCATCAAGGTTTGGACATCTACATCTGTATCTGCGTATAAATTTATGTTGCATTTCTGTTGTAAATTGCTAAAATAAATTAATTTTTCTCCAATATTTCATTTTTCTTCGTTTCCTTTCTTGCAGAAAGATGTGAGTTTGTCAGCCTTCTCTTCTCAGCCTTCATTTTGTTTAAAGAGTTCTAAGAAAAGGGTCTGCAAGAAAATTGCATCTGTGATGGCACCACAACAATCTGAACGCAAGCCATCCACAACTGGTTCAGTAAGACCAATTTTTGGGTTAAAATTGAGAATCTTCTTCTGCATTTTCTTATTTTTTGGATATTAATGGTGGGTTTCGGTGAATCTGTGATATTTTCTAGGTCAAAACCGGGTTGACCTTGACTGAGAAGATACTAGCAAGGGCTTCAGAGAAAACCCAGTTGGTCCCTGGTGAGAATGTGTGGGTGAATGTTGATATTTTGATGACCCATGATGTTTGTGGCCCTGGTGCCTTTGGAATTTTCAAGAAAGAGTTCGGAGAAAATGCTAAGGTGTATGCTAAAGAACATTATCTCTTGTTTGATAGTTTAAAATCCTGTGGGGAATTTTTTAGAATATATAGTGGCACATTAAAGGAGGCATTTTTTGGTATGATATAAATTGTTGAGATTTAACATTATTATTTGGATTATGGACTGGATATTATGTTGGCATATGAATTGAAGAGACACACTGAAACAACTTTGTTTAACTTTCATATTCTAAGTAAATGACTATTTGAATCCGAATTTGTGGATGTTGCAACTTTATTTTAGATGAGACGGCATGACTTCCAGGTTTCAGTATGGTGAATGGTGTTAAAGGATCATAATTTAATAACAAATTGTAAGTTAATTCTGTGATCCCGAGGTTATTTTGGGACTTGGGTTTAAAAATGACTATTTCTGTAAAATAAGGTTTTCATATCTTATGTGCAAGGCACATGCAGTAGATTATTAAAAGAAACATAATCTTGTAAGATGGATACCCTCCTGCTATGATACAATTCATTATAATCAAAGATTCTGAGTTTCCTAATTCATAGAGCCAAGCATCAAAATGAATCAGTCGAAGCTGAGAACTCTTTATCGTTTAGCTTTTTAGCAATGGTGAAAGTAAATTCGTTGTTGATAGTTTGGATATTGAATATATAGTTTGGAGGTACTTTAAACCATTGATAGTCTATAAGATATCGTCTTCTTGCCTATGATAAATTTTCATTCAGGGTCAGCCATGCCATCTTCCTTATTTTTAGCCGAATGATCATCTTTCTGGCATGGGAAGTAGCTGATTCTGAATGTAGAAGTTTTTTTGGATTGTTCTACGATCAAAGTCACAGTAACATATTCTTGTATTGATTTGGTCTCTTCATTTTAGATTTACCTCTTTGGCTCATAGTTTCTATATTTAATGGAATGAGCAATTGAAGGGTTCGTTTGATTGTAAAGATGGAATTTGGGTGGAAAGAAAATAAATTTCAGGGAATTGAATTGTCTAGAAATTATTTTACTGAAAATTGTCAATTATTGTGTTTGATTGGTTTAATTTTTCACGTGGAAAATGTTGAAATGGAAGTGTTTGTTTGGCTTTATTTTACATGAAAATTGTTAATTAAAGGGATTGAACTTATTCGTACTAGGGATAGAATTTGTTTCCATAACTAAAAAAAATAATAATAATAATAATAAAAGCTAAGAAAATCATCTAGCTCTTGGTGTTCATTTGGCTTTTTTTTACATGAAAATTGTCAATTAAAGGAAAATATTTTTTTACAATTAGGGATAGAATTTGTTTCCAAAAAAAATAAAAATAAAAATAAAAAATTGAAAAAAAAAAAAAATTTCGCCAGCAAGCCTAGAAAACCAAGAAAATATCTACGTGGCAAGCAAACCAAGAAAACAAGCTCCATGGAAAAAAATTGCCATCAAACATGGCAAAATTGGGAAAGTGGAATTCATTTTCCATTTTCCATGGAATTCCTTGCCAATCAAACATGGCCTTAGGCTCTTCTTGATCTTGTGTGATCTTTTCCTTTTACTTCACTCTCATTCTGAAATTTGCCCTCAGTTCAATCTTCACAGTCAGGACAGCTGAATAAACCATCCTTGTCTCACCCCATGACAACTTCAAATCGTGATTTTTTGGTAGCACTGCAAGAATCTTCACATAATTGGTTGAGATGAGTGTATCAAGCATAATAATATTATGAAAGCTATGTTTTCCAAGAAATTCCTTTCCCCATCTCACTAATTCAATTTTAGCAAATGCTCTATTAATTTTACCCAAAATTATGATTTTGTCTTGTCTGTGAAGGCTACAACCACTGGTGTCTTCTGTAAGATGATTTCTTGTTTATTTTGGCAATCCTTGTTTCTTTTTATTTCTACTGCTTCCTCCTAAATTCTAATTACGCTTATATGATAGTGGAAGGAATTCAAAAACTTTTAAGCTATGCAGACATAATAAACTAATCTATTTATGTTTTTCTTTTACTTCATACAAAAAATATTAAACGATTCTGATTGGAAGAGTTTCATAGTTAAATTATTTTTCCATTGTCCGGTGATTTTGGCAATCCTTGTTTCTTTTTATTTCTATTGCTTCCTCCTAAATTCTAATTACACTTATATGATAGTGGAAGGAATTCAAAAACTTTTAAGCTATGCAGACATAATAAACTAATCTGTTTATGTTTTTCTTTTACTTCATACAAAAAATATTAAATGATTCTGACTTGAAGAGTTTCGTAGTTAAGTTATTTTTCCATTGTCCAGTGATACTTGTAGCTCACATGGCTTTCTAATTGACTAGTTGCTTCTCTCTTTCGCTATCACAGGTCTGGGACCGTGAAAAGGTTGTTATCATTCCAGATCATTATATATTCACCACTGATGAACGAGCAAATCGTAATGTGGATATCTTGAGGGATTTCTGTACTGAACAAAATATTAAATACTTTTATGATATCAAAGATCTTGGGAATTTCAAGGTATGGTTACACTATCTTACAGATGCTAAAGGCTTCTTTCTTACATAGGTTTGTGGTATAGAGATCGAATTTTGATATGATAATATAACAGGCAAATCCAGATTATAAAGGCGTATGTCATGTAGCTCTTGCTCAGGAAGGTCATTGCAGACCTGGAGAGGTACTTTTTATATGCTAAAATTAGAGAAGTTTACAGTCATCACCTCATTATAATCCTTTACAATTCTTGGTTTATTTTTGCATGCATTTAGGTCTTGCTGGGTACAGACTCACACACATGTACTGCTGGAGCATTTGGTCAGTTTGCAACTGGAATTGGCAATACTGATGCAGGTTTTGTGCTGGGTACCGGAAAGCTCTTGCTTAAGGTTTGTCTGGTCTTTTTAGTTTCATTATTGTATTCAACTAATGCTTTTGCTCTTTCCTCATCTAGTTTAATATATGATTGCAAAAACTCCTATCCATCACAGTGATTTAGATGTCATGAAGTTCTCCTGTAGAATCCAAGACAAACAAACAACTAAACCTTATTTCAATATATTTCAAGTCAGCTACATTCACTGTTTTCACCACTCTGTTCGGTTTATCACTATATTAACTGGAACATCCATTACAATTGGATTTTTTGAACCACAACATGCCATATTAACTTTGATCCACCTCGTCTCCTACTAACATATTCTACTGAAAGCACATCATTTTTGTAAATTAGAGTTTCTTTAGGTCTGCGCAAGATATGCCTCAACTTCTTAAGTTTTCATTCCCTTTAATTTATGAGGTCACCTCTATTTGGTACCATGACTAGAGTCTAATTTCATATTTTATTTTATTCATTTAAGTATGATCACATATCTATCTTAATATCTTCATTTCCGCCTTGTTCATCTTACTTACATATGTTCTTAATAGCCCTAAGTTTAGCCGGTTTAGTCCCTGTTTGGTTTTGCTAAAAATCAGATTTCATAAACGTTAATGAAATATGTGGTCGAAAAGTTGATAAAAGTTATGGGCCCATGAAATTTGTGAATAAATTTAATTGTTGATTTTGATTTGGATTTTTATTAACTTTTTTAGCTAAACCTGATAGGGGCTTAATATCTTCGGTTATTTAGAACTTCTACTTAGTCTTTATTCACCTCTCTCTCACATTGGAATTCGTGACACTTCAAAACTAGAATAACCTGTTATGCATTATATTTTCCTCTCTTCAATTCCTTGTTTCTTGTTAATGATCAAACCCAAATACCTAAACTATCACTCTTTGGGGAACAACATGATCCTCTGTGGTAATAATTCCATTACAATCCCTATTCTTACTGCACTAAAAGGACAACATCTGTACTACACCTTTATTCTATTAGTACTCTAAAAGTTTAACATGCGATTTAGCCTCTTCCTTATCTCATGTATTACTACTTTGACTTGGATTTTTATCAACTCTTTTTAGCTAAACCCGACAGGCTTAATATCTTCTGTTATTTAGAACTTCTATTCAGTCTTTCTCTAAATCTATCTCTCACATGGAATTTGTGACACTTCCAAACCAGAATAATTTGTTATGCTCGATATTTTCCTCCCTTCAAGTCCTTATTCCTTGTTAATGATCAAACCCAAATATCTACACAATCACTCTTTGGGGGACAACACGATTCTCCTTTTAATCCTTATTCTTACTTTGCTGAAAGGACAATATATGTACTACACCTGTATTCTACATTCATCCAAAATAGTACTCTAAAAGTTTAACATACGATTTAGCCTCTTCCTTTCTCATGTTGTGACGACCCGAGCCCTTAACAATTTGAGTGTCACTAAATATAAACTAAAACTAATTTAAAGAGTATTCAATCCAATTATATAAATTATTAAAGCACTTACTAAAATTTAAATAATGTAATGAGTTTAATAAATTAATTTGAAATGAGAAATATCTTAAAATATTTAAAGTCAAATAAAATATTAAGAGCTTGACAATGTAATAATTTTATTATTGAAATTTTTGCCACCATAAGCCATCTCGTGCCGACTGCCTCGAATCATCAATTATTAAAAAGTAGAGACATAATAGGGAAGAATAATTCTTAATAACTATGCGTGGATAATGAATTTATATATGTATTTCTACAGATAATTCATAACTTGCATAGGTAGACACGAAAATTAGATTGAACTCATATGGTGCTAAATTCTCATGCATAGTGCTACTAAACTCCGATCCATTATGAATGAAACATACGTAACATGGACCAAAACATAATATAGCCGTAGAAATATTACATAAATAAACATTAGCCACCATAAACATAAAGCACAATTTACTTTTCACTTGACAATTCAAAATGATAAAAGGAGTGATTGTTGAAAAGAGATCTTTGAGCTGCGTGTGGGGTTGATTATTCACGTGTGATGTGTAAGTGTATAGCTATATTTGATATAGAAAGGATGAGAGACATAGTAAAGGTAGAGAGATAAAGTGATAAAGGAAGGGAGGGAGAGTGTATAAATAGTTGGTGAGGGGTAGTCTAGTATTGGGTTTGTCTTCTATTTATAGTGTAGATTCTTAATCACGTGTAGAAAAGTAAAGGAAATGGATAGATGTTAGGCACGGTCAATGCATAAATGATGTATTGTCATGGAAATGGTCAAATCTATAAATTTAATCATGTAGTCAAATTAGTTCACTTGGCTTAAAACTTGATGTAAATAATGCATGTTGTCAAATCAATTTCCTTTATTTACATGGTCAAATCAATTATGTTGCATTGAAATGTGGAGTGAATAATGTATGTTGTCAATAAATCATCTTCCATCAAGACTAGTTGGCATATTTATATATGTTTTACGCATGATTTCTTCTAACTTTCAAAATAACTTTCCAAATAACTTTCCACTGAGGTCTTTAAACTATTGGTCAGTAACCAATGGGGTCATTAGACTGTAATAATAGCTTACTTAAATTCTAAATTTAAATCTAACAACTAATGGTAAAAATTTGAGACGTTACACATGCACTGGTACTATAAAATCAACAAACGACATACACCAAAGGAACCTCATCTTGGATACGCCTTGAAGCTCATATATGTTTTACAGAGATATGAAATTCTCTACTACCGCCACTTTATCTCACACTTGAGATGACTCTGTTGTATATATCCTTAATAACCTTGATGTGCCTAATAAAAAATTCATCTCTAGCGACCACCTTAACACTTTCTTGGTTGCTCTATCTTATCATCATCATCATCATCATCATCAATAGAAACAATGTGCTAATCTTGTTTCTTTCTGTTTTCCATTTCATCAATGCCATAAGCGGGTAAATGATTTCCCCTATTCATGCTAGTTTGATTCCACATCATGTTACTATCTTAGTCGTCGTCCATTTTCCTTGAAAACTTGTTAGGGTCTAATAGTTATGGGATTCAATCACCCTCAAGCCTGGGCTTTTGGGAAAGATAGCTGGTCTCCATCAGTTGGTATCAGAGTAGACCCACATCACATGTTCGAATCCCAGAACAGGCAACGCAAGTTGAGTGCCGAATACCAGCAGCCAAAGAAGAGCCAGCCAGGTAAAGCGAAGGTCGTCTTGGAGTGAGCCGCCGTGGACGTTGGATTTGGGACTGTGGGGTATTTTTAGGGTCTAATAGTTGTGAGATTCAATCACCCTCAAGCGTGGGCTTTTGGGAGAGATGGTTGGGTCTCCATCAAAATTCTATCCTTAAATTCACTTGTTATTTCCCTGTATGCTCCACCTCCATGTTTTGTGGCCTCGAACCTCTTTGGAAATTCTTTTTCATTTCTCGATAGACACCACTGACATATCGAAATATTTACATTATTCTTTTCTTTAGTTTGCTTGGATTTCTTCTAAATTTCTAGTTTCATCTAATTTTCAGAGTTCAAATTTTCTGACTGAACTATTACATTTAATGTCTGGCATGTCTTTTGATCTGCTGTAATATGATGACTCGTTACTTCTTTAGATGGCATGCACTTGTTGGACAAACCTAATAAGCTAATTGTTTTAAGCAATAATGCTTACCTGTTCCATTTGGATAGGTGTCAGTAATCTGATAACTTATGGGAAACCATTTTAAGTCTATTAAAATAACTAATTTCTTTGGATTTGAGCATTAAAGTGGACGTGTTCTTCATTCTTTTCAATTTATCTGAAAATTATGGTTCCAGGTCTTGTCCAAAATAGCCAAATGTAGGCGATACTATGTTCTGTCCATTGATGGAAAATGGTTTTTGAATTTGGTTCATGCTAAAAAGTACATTTTTTGTGTTTTGGAGGCTGCAAAACTTTATCTACTGTACTTGATATGATGTACTAATCCTGGTTGCTGGAATTTATCATTCTATGAATGGACTTGCTCCTTTGTTGGAGTTTAGGGTTTAGGCTTAAAGTTAGCCCCCTCTTTCTTTATGGTGTTTCAGCTTTAGTTCAGAAGACTTTTAGACCCTGTTGCTTACACAAGGTATAAGAACTCTCAACCATTGGGGATGGAATACTGAGCACAAATTTGAAACACTTAAGAGCTTTTGTTATAAAATTGTATACTTGGATTTTCCTTTGTTCTAACCAGAAAGTATTTTATCTTAACTTCAATTTTTCATATTTAAGAAAATTAAAAATAAAATAAAATAAAAGGTCAAGTCAAAGGGTGTGTAGATACAATCAAAACCAATTATTAGTTAAATAAGGAGAAAAGAAGTTAGATGAGATAATCAAACAATTGAACTAAGAAATGTAAAGAGTCGTCTATTCTAATGGATTAGAAACATAGAAATGAATAGAACAGATCAAAGCAAGAAATTATCACAGAGAGAGAGAGAGGTCAAAATCTATAGAGCACCTTTTATATTATACTCCTTGGCATGATCATATGTACACCTAATATTTCATTTTAGGCCTCCATGAGTCTTATTAGTAAATATATATCAATCTGTTGCAGGTGCCTCCAACTTTGAGATTTGTCATGGATGGTGAAATGCCTGATTATTTGCTTGCAAAGGATTTGATTTTGCAAGTAAGTTGAAGCACATTTGCTTTCCAAGGATCTTTGATTTTTCTCTCGTATGCCAAAAATAATAGTGTTTTTTTTATTGAATTCAGAGAATCTAATTTATCTTTACTTGCTTGATTTATATGTAGATCATTGGTGAAATATCAGTGGCCGGTGCAACATATAAAGCTATGGAATTTGTTGGTACTACTGTTGAAAGTTTAACAGTAAGAATAATTAACCTTTTACTGGATGCAAGTTGATTATCCATTCAAGTATTTGAGTCACTAATTGGTTCTCCTTTGGTTCACTAACAAATCTCTGCTTTTCATTGAGAAGATGGAAGAGAGAATGACATTATGCAACATGGTTGTTGAGGCTGGGGGCAAGAACGGTGTTGTTCCAGCTGATAATACCACATATAAGTATCTTGAGGTACTTTGCTGTTTCACCGATTCCATCAACTGCGAATTTATGCGTGTGCACGCATGTTCATACACTAAAGACATACATAAGCCTAGGAAATAATGTTTTGGCTAACCATATATTCATTTCGTGTGTCAGGAAAAGACAAATTTGCCGTATGAGCCAGTCTATAGTGATGGACAAGCAAGGTAGTTTACAATCTGAGTTTCTTGTCCTAGAAATTGCTTACTGTAAATTTTTAGGAGGTATTTTCATATCTCATATAGCACCTTTCAGTTCAGTTCTTTCTTCCCTTTCCTCCTTTCTTTTAATTCTAGTGACAAATTTGTTCAATAGGTTTGTAGCTGAAACTTTCTACTAGGGGCAAACTATGATGATATAAAACATGCTTGATTATCTTGGGTCACTATGCAATTACAACTAAATTCTGATTAGTGATGTCGGTCTCAGTTTCATTTCCTACATTTTTTGGTTTAGTATACTTTCCAGAATTGTTTTCTTATTTTTCTGGGTAAGGCTTCCCGGGTGATACTTTTGATGTGTTAAAGGGACAAATGTTTCTTAAGTGGAAACCATCGTCACTAAGTTGATGAAAAATTATGAACTTCACTGTCTTAGATGGGTAGGTAGGTTAGGAATCAATTCCAGTGACCATTGGCAGCTTCTGTCATGATAAAATGTCAGCTCTACATATGATTGATGTCTATAGTAAATTTTTTCTAATCATTGATATTATGTAACTTGCTACAACATTTTAAATATGAAGTGTGGATGGCTTCATTCATTATTTTACATAATTATATGTTTGGTTTTGTCAGGAAGTGATAATATCGCATTTTGTGGTGTCAAAAGGTTGATCAGTTGACTAGATTTTTATTTACGCCTTAGTTTGAGAAAAATATCCTTGTTCTTCGTGCATTATTCAGCACCTCCAGTTCGGTTCTTAGTCTTAGCAGTTAAAAAACCTCTCTCTGGGTGTATAGATTTTTTTCTTATTTCAAGGCTATATTAAATATTAAAGTTTGCAGTTCATTCAAATAATATTTGTCACCATTCATTGTTTGTCACTAACACGATATCCTTGCTCGTCAAATATGATTTCATTTATTGTTAGATTCCTTCAAGAGTACAGATTCGATGTCTCAAAGTTGGAGCCTTTGGTGGCCAAGGTGAGGTTTACAAGTGACTTTGAGCTCTTACAGTCCAGAAGACCACTAGGACTTTTTTACTTAGATACTTTTTACTGTTCCCAATTGTTTTATAAAATCTTCTGAATACATAACAAAGCTTCAGCGTGTAGTTTTTTTTTTTTTGTGTGGAGTAAAATGAGTTTAATGTATCTGTTATGACCTTTTTCTCTTTTGGTTAGTGATATGAGTATTTGAGTGCTGTATAAATGATCAAATGCGTTTTCTGATTTCTCAGCCTCATTCTCCTGATAATCGTGCTTTGGCTAGAGAATGCAAAGACGTGAAAATTGACAGAGTATATATTGGATCTTGCACTGGTGGAAAAACTGAGGATTTCATGGCTGCTGCCAAAGTTTTCCTTGCTTCAGTAAGAAATGCTTTTTCTTCTAAAATATATTTCCTTTCCGTTGGATAAGTTTACCAAGCAGAACTATTTTCTTTCTTTAAATTGAGACTGGCTTCTATGAACAATAAAATATGTAGGATAATAAGCCATTTTTTCCAATCACAAGGTTAACGTGTCATGCATATTGTATATATGTAAATGTTCATTTTTATTTTGCCCCTTCCTAGTGAGTTTCCCTTCCTATGTATTTTCATTTGACAGACTAAGGTCAGTGCTGTCTCTCTGTGTATATAAACTCCTCTTAATGATCATAACAAAATGTGACAGTCACTAGGGTTGTCTTATTTCTATTAGTACGTAAATTCATCAAGTACTCGACCTGTTCATGGTATCATATGTGCAACAGGAATATGGTGCAGTTTTTGAGTAAAATTCACATTGATTAAAAGTTGGCATAATAAAATAGGTAGCCCACCTCTAAAGTTCATTATTTGTCCAAGACCTAATTTTAGCCATCCTGACATTGAGTTCTAGTTCTGCCCCTAATGGTGATGGTGTTCAATGTTATCTAGTGCTTCAAAAGATACTCAATTCCAATATAAGTAATTATACAAAGGAAAAATAAAAAATCTGGATTCGGGTTTTTGTAAATGCTCGATGTAAACTGTTGGACATCTATTCGACTCACTCATCTGAGACTCTGAGTATTGTGTTTGACAAGAGGTACTTCACCATTTTAGTATCCTAGTAACAAGAGACGCTTCCTTTCCTTGTTGACAAAATATATAGGGGAAGAAGGTCAAAGTTCCAACATTCCTTGTCCCTGCTACACAAAAGGTATGACCTAGTACTTTTCCTGCTAAATTTATGTTCCGTTATTTTCTAAAATATTGTAAATGAAATCAAACGAGGCATGCATGTAATCTGACTTGGTGTAATACTAATTCTTAGGTCTGGATGGACGTATATAGCCTTCCAGTCCCAGGATCGGGTGGGAAAACTTGCTCGCAGATATTTGAAGAAGCTGGATGTGACACACCTGCAAGTCCGAGTTGCGGTGCTTGTTTAGGTGGACCCCGGGATACTTATGCACGCATGAATGAACCTCAGGCAAGTTATCTATATCTACTCGGCGAGGATTTAAATGTTCCTTTAACAATCATATGCTAATATGATTTAATCTCTAAATGTCATTGTTTCCATGTTCGTGTGTGGCTTTTTACATACTGCTGTATTCTGGATAAGGGTGTTCTTGTTTGTGTGACTGAAGATAAATGATCATAGTTCTACATGGGTATCATTGTTCTCTTCATTTAGTAATATTCTGTTTGATAATCTACAGGTCTGTGTTTCAACGACAAATAGGAACTTCCCGGGTCGTATGGGTCATAAAGAAGGACAGGTTTATCTAGCTTCTCCTTATACAGCTGCAGCATCAGCATTGACTGGCTTTGTGACAGACCCAAGAGAGTTTTTGCAGTAAGGTCTTCAATGCCTGTCATGATTATATATGTTACCACCTCGGATTTTGATCCTTAGCTGAAACATTGGCTTGTCATGATCTGTTAAATTTGTTACTATTACTTTGTGAGTTTGCTCAACTGATATTCTAGAACTTTGACAGAAACAAGTCTTAGTCCTCTACTACTATGTTGTAACGTGTAATACTTCAATAAGAATGTCAGTCGAACAAGTCTTGATGCCATGAATGTTAATTTCTAGATTATGAGCATTCATTAGATCTTCTGTCATGCTGCAATCAAAAAGGGTTCGTGACTCGATAAACAGGTTGGAAACATCTATGCGATGTTGTCCTGTCTCGTATATACTGTGATCTTAGGACAAATATTAGAAATTTAGGCTCGACTTTGAAGTATGATGTGAACATATACTAGAGATTATTGTACTCGGAGTTTCTTCTAAGAAGTTAGAGAAGCCTTTCTGAATGTACATGCCCTGGTTTTATCCCCTTTGTACTGGTTTTTCAACTAATATTTAGGCTCGACTTTGAAGTATGATGTGAACATATACTAGAGATTATTGTACTCGGAGTTTCTTCTAAGAAGTTAGAGAAGCCTTTCTGAATGTACATGCCCTGGTTTTATCCTCTTTGTACTGGTTTTTCAAAGTGGAAATTCCCACTAAGCTGTGTCTCATATCTAATATATTCTTTAGCCATTTGGTCTCCCAATTGTGGGAATATTTCTTGGAATGATGTTGAGTCATATTGCAAATTATGTGGAAATTAATGTCAAGAATCATAAATTGCGTGTTAAATATACTCTCATCTCCATTTCTTTGACCACAGTTTAAGTGGTATGAATCGATTTGTAGGTGATTGTAGATTCGAGTCATATTTTGACAATTGTAGTACTTAGTGAAGAAGATTAGCTTTTTGACGATGGTGTTTTTAGTAGTTAGACTAGAATTGAGTACGTGTTTGACCTCCATTTTCTTGAAATTCATTTTTTCTCGCAAATTTATTTTCAATTACACAGGATTCACCATTTATATCAATTTTTTATTTATACATTTCATCAATTTTTATATTAAAAAAAATTAAAACTGAAAATTTTATTTTTATCTATACCGAAACTAGGGCTAAGTACAATGTTCAAAGAACATTTTTAAGAGACTCTTTAAATATGAAATGTTCTTTATTTTAAATAGCCAACTTTAAAATTATGTTCCAAGTTAATCTTTGAATTAAATGCGTTCATAGTATTTTAATTTCTAATGAAGAAAAAAAAATTATAATTTAGAGGAAATCTAGTGAAAATACAAAAATGGGGAAAAACATATATTTTTTAGCAGTAAAATTAAGTGTTAAATATAAAGAGGTTGTTGGAGTACTTACTGTCTTACTCTCTAAATTTATAGACGTTCTTTAAATTGTAGAATTACTGTTTAAAAATATGTCGAAAAATGCTCTAACGAGTTTATTTGGTAAGGTATTCTACAATATTGAACAACAATAAGGCAGAAAACAATCAATTAGATTTCTATTTTCTGGATATAACAAAAAAAAAAAAAAAAGGAGTTTTGTCAATGGAAATTGTAATTCTTGTTTCTTTATTCCTCACGAGGGAGGTAAGATAGCCCACAATTTTGATTGAGTGAGTCGTAGTTGTTGCGACATGCATTAAGTAAACCTTTTGGCCTTTAATTTTTTTTTAAAAAGATTGTAACACATTAGAAAAAGAGATTGTGTGAACTTTCCAGCTGTTGTAATTTGGAAGTATAATTACATAGTGATGCAATGATGAGAAATTCTTGTAAGCCTGCAAAAACAACATAATAAAGGAAAAGACAGGTAAAATAAGGCCAAGTTTTTTCATTTTCTCATCCAATATTTAATGGAAAATGTTAGTTTTCACTTATTTTTAACTCGAAATAAAATGGTTAAAGAGAGGAAACATTGTCTCGCTTTCTTTTTTTTTTTTTTAAGTATATTCTCGATAACAGAGTAATGAAGACAGGATGAGGCCATAAATTAAAAGGGAAAAGACAGGTAAAATCAGGCCAAGTTTTTCATTTTCTCATCCAATATTCAATGGAAAAATGTTATATAGTTTTCACTTATTTTTAACTCGAAATAAAATGGTTAAAGAGAGGAAACGTTGTTGTCAATTTATTTATTTATTTATTTATTTTCTCCTCTCCTAGTGTACTACTCTCAGTAAGAGTAATGAAGACGGGATGCAACTTGTAGTTCAAAGGATTAGAGCACTGACTACAAACCATGGTGTCGAACTCAAATCCCTCCTCGTCTAGAACCAGCCCTAAAGGGAAATACACATTATCTACTCATACACAAGAAATCGATCATAGAAATCCCCTTTTTCGTTTTCAAGAATATAATGCTTCATTTTAGAGAAGACTCATAAGTAAAAGCGGTACGATTTTTTGGAAGCAAGGAAGAAAGAGGAAGGAAAGATCTTGTAAAAATGTTGCAATCACTGGAAGCAAAATTGGAGTGGAAAAAATGATTGTGAAACATATTAATGTTGAATGAAAATACAACATGATTATTCTTAACTCTTATATTGCTATACAGTTGTAATATTAATCAATTAAAAGGTGATCATCATTATGTATATGTGACAATGACTATCCAGTCAAAATAAATATCATTGCATGATCTTAAGTAGCAGTTTTGAGCAATATGTTCCTATTTGGGATAAAAAATAATTGGTATTAGGTTTTGTTATGCATTATCAAGAACCAAAGGAAAAATAATGTGAGTCTCTGTTGATATATGATGATGATTTGTATTTACAGTGACTTAATGAATTATAATGTTCTATGTTTATGAAACATTTACGAATTTGTATACCAACAAGGGCAGACCTAGGATTTTGGATTGAAAAGCTTAATATTGTTGATCGTCGACGATGTACGTAGAGCTGGCAAAGATAAAAGGCAGTTCAAGAAAATAATACATCTACATATTTTGTTGAAAAACTTTGCTCTCTCTCTCTCTCTCTCTCTCTCTCTCTCTCTATATATATATATATATATATATATACACTTAATAAATTATAATGTACTAGGAGTTCTATGTTTATGAAACATTTACGTATTTGTGTACCAATAGACTTAGGATTTTGGATTGAAAAGCTTAATATTGTTGATCGTTAACGATGTACCTATAGTTGGCAAAGATAAAAGGCATTTCAAGAAAATAATATATCTACATATTTATATATATAATAAAATCATAAAGAAAAAAATAGAAAGGAATTGATGAAATTGATAACATTTTATATAAATAAATCAAAATTTTTTATACAACTCTCTCTCTCTCTCTCTCTATATATATATATATATATATATATATACACTTAATAAATTATAATGTACTAGGAGTTCTATGTTTATGAAACATTTACGTATTTGTGTACCAATAGACTTAGGATTTTGGATTGAAAAGCTTAATATTGTTGATCGTTAACGATGTACCTATAGTTGGCAAAGATAAAAGGCATTTCAAGAAAATAATATATCTACATATTTATATATATAATAAAATCATAAAGAAAAAAATAGAAAGGAATTGATGAAATTGATAACATTTTATATAAATAAATCAAAATTTGTTATACAAAACTCCAATAATTGAAACAATGAGAAAGCAAATGAAAATCATAGTTCTCCATGTACATAAATTTAAAAATTAAGTAAAAAGAAAATACAAAAAATCAATTATGGCATATAAGTGGAGAAAAATATTTTTGTACTTGAGTTAACTTAAAAAATAAAAAATAAATAAAAAATCTCAAAACCATTTTTTGTGCGTTACGAAAGGAAAGAATTTCTCACTTTTCTTTCAGATTTTAGAATTGAAAATAAATGAAAGTTCAAAAGATTATGCTTACTGCCAAGTATAGTATTTTGCAAACTTTATCCGTTGAAAATTTAATACTAAAGTTAATTAAATTATGTAAAAATGATAAAATGCAAATGGAACTCAAAATTGGGAGTGCCATTTTAAAGGTAGGGATGGATTTTCTTAAAACGTGAAAGTTTAGGGACTAATTGCACGAATTTTTCAAAGGAAAAGAGAAAAACTAGACTCTGGTTGGGAGGATTTGAACCATTGCCAACTAAAAACAAACAAGAGTCTTTCCACCAAGGTGCAACCATATTCATTTATATTTAATAGTTTTTTTTTTCATATGTAAAAAAAAATAAAAAATAAAAAATAAATAAATCATTAGAAAAAAATAAAAATAAAATGGGACCCTCAAGTACCCCCCTTGGCTCCATCATGCTCTCCAGTATATTAAGCGACTATTTAGTTCAGTTAAAAAGTTGATTAAAATCTAAGTCATGGTCGATAATTAATTTTAATCACATTTTATGGAATCCACAACTTTTCAACAACACATTCCACCAACCTTTCTTAAAGTCTACTAAAAAATTGATATTTATCTAAATCAAACATGGAATAAATTTTTAGACGAAATTGTTTATTGATTTTAATCAAATGAAAACCTTTCTACAAAAACCACATAATTGTGCACTTAAGCAAAAGAGTGGCTGCATTACTGCATATGAGATTTGAACCAATAACAACTTATCAACCAAGTAAATTAGAGAGAGAAAAGCCCCCCAGGGCACATCCAAGTTGGCGGAACAATCACATTGGGGGCTCTGGAACCAAGTGTGGGGAGTTCGATTCCTGGTTGGAGCAGCCAAGTGATGTAATAACCAGAGGAAGGGTTGGAGCAGCTTGGTGATGTAATAACCATGGAGGAGGGTCCCTTTGGGGAAGGAGTAAAAGTCATGTGGGAACCTAGGAACCAACAAGGGCACAACCTGCGATTTACCTCCTCTAGTCACTGAGGGGTCGGGGGCTAGAGGTCCAGGATTTAGTCCGGCTAAGCTGGGACACCTGGGTTATCAAAAAAAAAAAAAAAAAAAAATTAGAGAGAGAAAAATGCAACTAAATATCTTATTGAGATTTAATAATTAAAGTTTTATCTTATTTATTATCTAATTTTGTTTCAATAAAATCTCGAAGTGGCTGCTCGAATCATCCATACTAGCTAGAAATAATCACGTAAATAGTCTGACAACACAATGACAATTGACTCAATCTTGTGAAATTATTTTATAGAAGTTATGAGTATTATCTTTTTATTTTAAAAAAATCCAATTCGATTCTTGAATTATCTACGTCGCTTATATTTTTATACTATAACATTAGATTCATTTTTCGATGAAAAAAATAGAATAAAGTCAATTA